AAAAAAAAAAAAAAAAAAAAAGCAGTCTTGTAAATAAAATTAGGATACCTTCTAGTCTGAATTCTAAACCAGAGGTTAGCAAAAAACTGCCATGAGACAAATCCAGCTCAAATCCATTTTTGTAAACTAGTCTTACTGTAACACAGACACATTTGCTCATTTAAGTATGTGGCTGATTTCAGGCTATAAGGCAGAGCTGAATGGTTGTAACACAAGAGAGTAGCCTGCAAAACCTAAAACATTTACTATTTGGTCTTTGCAGAAAAAGTCTGCCGATCCCTATTGTCACAGGCGTTATGCTACCAGTGAACATTTTTATCACCCATCGTACATATATGGCTTGGACGTATGTCTGATTTCCAAGGTCTTCTTCACAAGCCAGGATTTGGTATCATTCTGCTTCCTTTAAGAGTCTCAAAGATTAAACTAATCCAGAATGGGGACTCAGAATCAGGAGTAAAGATCACACTGAACTCTGAAAGGACCAAATATTTCACAGGGAAAGGGAAAAATAGTGTAGGAGAGACATTTTGTTTCTTCTTCATTCCCTACTTCTGCCTTCAATATTTCCCTTAAGGGAAGCAAGTCCTAGAACTTTGTAGGATCTGTTTAAGAAACTCTGTTATACTAGATAATTTGGTGAATGAACATGAGGTCTGGGAGAGGGGTAGCCACCATGCCACTAAGAGGGAAGGCCTGAAGCTGGAGTTTGAGAATGTGAGACAACTTACATGGAGCTTAACAGTAAAGATGCCTTTATTTTACTTTTTAGAGTACAGTCATAGTAAGCCTGCTGGATCAGGACTTGCATGAAATTAGTACCATCTCTTCTATGAGTCAATATATGTCCATTATTACCTGAGCCTGGCTAAGATGGATATTGAGTCATTTCCAACCTGTTATAGAAGGTCAAGTACTTAAATTTTTGAATCATCACTGAGTGCTAGGGTATGGATGTTGTTCCTAATTCAGGAACACTAGTTATTCCTGTCTAATTTTTCCCCAAGAATTCTGAAGCAAGTGAAGGAAGAGGCTATACTAGGAGGAAAGATGAAAGCAAAGAGAGCCTATCAACAGACTCAGGTTCTGGCAAAATCCTAACACGATGGGACTGCCAAGGAGTGACAAGACCTGGGATGATACCTTGATTACCAAGAAAAAAGCTGCATCATATATCTGAACTCACACATTTGATTGATCATGTTTCTAATAATCACAAATTCATCCCCCCCCCAAGCCTCTTCCTGTTTCCTTAGAAACTGAAGATCACAGGACATGTACTCATTTTTATCTCTATAATTAATATATAATCTCCACTGATTATTTAGCAATATTAAAAGTCTCAAGGATTCTTTCTGACCTATAAATTTACAACAGAATTCAGGGCTACTGTCTTCTGGCCTCAGACACAGACAAGAGGCAAAATATATTTAGTCCACCAAGCATCTATATATACTTTTTCCAAAATGCAAAGAATTCCCCAAACATTCTAAGATTAAAGTAAAAAGTTAAAAAAATACATAAGCAAACTTTGTGAGAACCAATGGAAGGAGCCTGAATTGCATAACTAGGAGTGTAGCTCCTGCCATTCAGCTTCTAATTAATGGCTAAGGTTTTCTAGGCACTGCTTAAAATTAAAAAACCCATCCTGAATTGTACGGATAGTTTTCTTAATCAAACAGGTGTGTGGTGTCCTTACTTTAGAGAAAAGAATACTTGGAACAGATTCTCATTGTATGTAGTTAGTTGTGTCAGATCTTTACTCTTCAGTGTTTTTCTTGGTGAAAGATGTGAGGTACTGTGCAGGCCAAATGGCCAAATACTTAAGAAATAACTTATACTGGCTTGAAGATCCAAGGGAAATGACATATCAAAAAAAAAAAAAAAAGAACAGAGTACATGGCATTAAACAAATAAATTGCTTAAAGCACAGTACAAAAAGGGGGTTGGGGATGCAGCTCAGTGCAAAAGCCTTGGGTTCCATCCCTAGTACTTCAAAAACAGCCAACCAACCACCCAACCATATTCTAATCCCGAAGGGATAATCACTGTTGACATTCTTTCAGACTTTTTAAAGGCATCATTTCTTTGTGGCATGGACCATGTTGTACTGACTTGCTTTTCTGACTTACAGATATATTTCTTTGTTAATTATACAGATTTAGTTTATCTTTTTAACAACAGTAAATCAATCCACTACATGACTGCATCATAACTTGTCTGACTATTGCAGACGTTTAGCTAATGATGGACATTTATTTTCCACAATAGCAACACTCTTATAATCAACACTCTGGCATAAAACAGATAATATAGGGCTGGAGATTTGGCTCAGTGGTTCCACAGCCTGCCTCGCAAGCAGAAGGACCCGAGTTCAATCCCTGGTTCCAAAAGAAAAAAAAAAAAAAGACAGATAATACACATGTACTTTTGTAGATATAATAAGTCTTTAAGTGAGATATTGGGGGATCAAAGGAAATGTTAATTCAAAAATTTGGCAAAGCAAGACCAAGTAAATACTATGGCTCCACAGGAGGGAGGAAAACAGAGAAGGAAATTAAAAGGATCAAGATGTAATATGTATATGAACCAATTCCCCATGAAAAATGTATTTTTTTATTTTTTTTTTATTTTTGGTACCGGGGATTGAACTTGGGTCCTTGAGCTTGCAAGGCAGGCAGTGGAACCAGTGAGCTAAATCCCCAGCCCGAAAAATGTATTATAATTTGCAAACATATACCAATAAAAAGGGAAAAATCATTAAATCAGGCTCACAACACCAAGAGGTGCAGAAAGTGGTTCTCAATCTGCAGCAATTTTGCCCCAAAGGGATATTCGAAAATGTCTGGAGACATTTTTGGTTGTTACATCTGGGGAGGTGCTACTACATGTAATGAGTGGAAGCCAGGGGTGATACTAAATTTACAGTGCATTATACAGCCCCTTCATCCACATAAAAGGAAAATAGCCAGTCTAATTCACTCACTAGCACAGGCTGAGAAACCCCGGTCTAGGATTATATCACACTGGCCATAATAGCTCCCTTGGAAATGTAGAGAACAACATTTATTTATTTATTTAGGTACCAGCAATCGAACTCAGGGCCTAGCGCTGTGTGGCTGAGCTACATCCCTGGCCCAAGAACTACCATAATTTATACTTTTGAATTGTTTGTGGTTTCTTATTGCAACAACTATGCACTAGTTTAAAGATTTCTACCCACAATGAAGTTTGAGACAAAATCCATCCCCAAGGCTTCAAACATTGCTTCTATGCCTTTGGGACAAATTCTGTAAGTTCCTTCAGTCTTCTCTTCAGTAGGCTAATCTCAGCTCTTTCAAATGTTCTTAATGGGAAACAGTCTCTGGTCAATTGCTACTGAAGAACATTAAACTCTAGTTTTGTACTTTGACCAGTGAGGAGTGGAATTATAACCTTCCTCATTCTACATGCTCCAGCTCACATAAAACTTATTAAAATACTCGGTTTTTCTGCATTTTGCTGCAATTAGTTTTCACCTTTCCTATCCTGCCCTACTCCTACTTTTAAATCTTAATGCAACAAACTGAGAGGCCTAATCCTTAACCCCCTAATGTCTAGAATACAATTTATTTTGAGGGTGGGGCAGGGAGTCGGTACGTAGTTCAGGATGGCCTTGAACTTGCAGTGATTTTCCAGCCTCAACTTCCTGAATGCTGGGATTACAGGCATATGCCACCATGCCCAGCCTAGAATCAACTAAATTACAATTTTATGTTACATTTTAGTTCTGAGACTTTCTCACCTTCTGGGTTGGATGTTGTGATTACTTGAATCTTGCGACAATGCAATGCACTTAAAAATCACCTAATAGGGAAAGCTAGTTTAGATTATTAATGTCACTCACTTCAACAAACATCTAGTGAACACTTAGGCCATTGTACTGATCAATGAGATCAATAAAAGACAAGAACTGTTTAGACTTTATGGTCTACAAAGCTTTTCCTGGGATTTCCTTACTGAAACATCTTTCGTGCTCACTACCTACAAAAACATTGATTTTCAATCTGTAGAACTACATATAACACCGTGTTTCATAGTGAAAGCTTGGATGCCACTGACTCCTACGCCCCCTCAATGCTTTCCCCCTTTGGGAGTCAACCTAGGTAGCTGGTAAACGTCTTTAACGAATAAATCCACCTCAGTACTCCTACACACAATAAACCTGCAAGCAAACACCTGTAACAGGCTTTTACTCCCTACATCACAAAAGTAAAAGGTAGCAATAATACCAAAACGTACTCCAAACAAACTGAATTCACGAAGGCATTAAACACACAAGGTATGGTTAGATAATTCTTTACCCACGGATAATAAATTATAGAAAAGAGAAAGATTCAAGAATGCACACTGAAGATGAACTAATGGTGAAGATGAAACTCAATTCCACAATAGTGATAACAGTGATTTTTCCCTATGAACACGAACACACTCCCACGTCGCTCCCACTTCACTGGCACAGAGAAGGCGGCAGCGGCGCGGGGGGGGGGCGCTCCCACGTGCGAAATACTCCGCGGTAACCCGGCAGCACCGCCTCGCCACGACCCCGCAGGGCCCACCACCTCTTCAGCCGCCCACCTGGCTAGAAGCGCCCAGAGGCCTCCGCTCGACCCCGCGAGGGCAGACGCTTTGGAGAAAGAAAGGGGAGGCAGGTAAGCGAAGAACGAGCTTTTCCTGACTCGAAAAACCCATTCCTATAGGACTGTGGCTATGAGCAACCGCGCGGTTCCGGAATACGGCTCGCGAGGGTCCAGGCTGGGTCCCCAGGGACCACGGGTCCGCCCCCCGCTCCTACCTCAAGCCTTAAGCGCCGCGGCCCCACCCCTCGCCGCTGGCCGCGCCCCGCCGCACCCGCCCCAAGCCGCACCCCTAGCTGGCCTTAGCCTTACGTATCGGTCCTCCGGAGGTGGCCCCTGAGCTACTAGCAGCGTCCAGAAGGCCGAGGAGCTGGGCTACCATACCTGCACTTTCCTCCGCCCAGCCGTGTTCTGCCGGTGATGGGCCGCCATCTTGCATGTTGACACTCCTACGTCACTTCCGGAAGAGGCTCGCCCCGGACGGATGTCCCGCCCTTTCCTGTTTGGCCCAGGGCGGGTGGTGGAGTTGAAGTTGGATAAGTAGTGTGCTTACCAGGTGCGGTTTGTTGGTGTGGCCCGTGGCAAGGTGGTTCTCCTGTAAACAAGACCGTAGGGGGTGTATAAAGCTAATGGAGGTAGGGTAACTCTTCAGAGCTGAGGGAACAGCCCTAATCTGGTTCCATGTGGGTGACCTTAAATCTGGGGCTTGTGCTGCTTACCTAGCACCTCCCCAAGTCTTCAGAAAGCAAGCATTGAAAAAATTGATAATGCTTGTTTTCAGCATTTGAGACTTAGGCCGAGACTCCCACGCAAGCTAAAAAGTATGACATCCTTTGTGGAGGATTTCCATTCTCGTTTCTATGCCTGTCAGGTATAGGTACTGTCATGAGTGGGTAAAACCTCTTCAAGTCCCAGTCAATGCTTAGTAATGGCCATGTGCCATGGCTTTTGAAGTTATTCACACGGAGTGCGTTCAAGTCCTAAGTCAGGCTTTGTGTTTGGGAATTCACATCATTTCCCTGAGACCCTCGTCTTAACAGAAATAAAGCTTTTCACGCAAAATACTAACCACATGGTAGCTCTGTTTTCTTTGAGGCTTAAAATTTTTTAAGCATTCCTGGACAATATATTTATTACACATGAAAGTTTAACATCCTAAAAAATGCTACATACATATTAAATAGAAATGCAGTAAGTTCAAAAAGTAAGACTTCTAGAACGTTTTTGCTTCTAAACTATGTTTTTACTTATTAAATTTTGTTCTACAGGTTGGTCTGTCCCTTTGCCAGTTAATTGAGTAAGTTAATGACTTCTCTCATCTTCAGTTTATTTGTAAAAGAGTATATTACCTATCATATGGATCTTATAAAGTTAAATGGGGGAATGTTAACACTACTTGATAACAATAGTAGGAAATATTCTGTATATTTAAGGTATTATTTTTAATTATCACCTTGCCCTGGAAATATTGCCAAAGTGTTGTAATTTCCTAGGACAGATTGTCTCAGACTTTTTAGATAATGTAGCCTCTATCACTTTAAAAAGCTTTCAGATCAGCTTGAAATTTCCTCTATCATTCTTCGTCTTGCTCTCATAGCCTGGAAGAAGCTTGCAACACATTCAGGCTTTTTCACAGATTGACTTGGTGCTTGTATTTCTGACCCCGTGTTCAATCTATTTGCCAAACAATGAAAGTATCAACTTTTTGTGTTACCTTGGCTATATATAAAACATAGTTAATGTGTACAAGTTACAAAGCTTTCTTTTAAAATGTTTGCTATTAAAATAACATAAGCCTAAGTTTAATAAATAAGAAAACATGTATCTGCTTAATAACAATAAACACTTGTCTTCACAGGCACGCACACCTGAAGGAAAGTTGAAATGCTTTTACTGGGAATCCTGTGTTTTACTGATCAAGTTGCACAAGCACATGTAATGTCTGATATGTGTGAGTTTCTATTTGACTGACTGTGGTGGGCACAGGAAGTGGAGTTAGGGTTAGGACAGCACTGTGCATTCTCCTATACAGTCCCAGTGTGGCCAACACAGGCCCCTGCTGGAGCACTGCCTAACAGAATCATGAACAGAAGCCTTAAAAATTACATAATGATGTTAAAAGTTTAGTATCTTGTGGAGCTACATGTGGGCTAACACATACAGGCTGTGGGTTATACATGCCTCCTCTAGACTTACTGTCTGGTTCGCCAAAGGGAAAACGTGAATGTTTTTGTGTTTTTTCTTAAAAGAGGAATTAATATATTTTGAAATTTTATTTAAAAACACAAAATTAGGGGCCAGGGATTTAGCTCACTGGTTTCGCCACCTGCTGCGCAAGTGCAAGGACCCGAGTTCGATCCCCAGTACCAAAAAAAAAAAAAAACCAAAACCAAAACCAAAAAAACCACAAAATTATGTAGATCCTTGGTTTGTGATCACCACTATCTCTTAGTGATTAATATAGAAATTTGTATACTTTAAAGATGGATTTTTTTGTTTTGTTTTGTTTTCTGTTACGGGGGAATCGAACTTAGGACCTCGCACTTGCAAGGCAAGCAGCAGAACCACTGAGATAAATCCCCGGCCCTTAAAGATGGATTTTTAAAAGCATGTCATTTTAAAACTTATTTAGGTACAGCAGAAGTGCCAAATAAACTTTTTAATGCAAGCCTATCATAGATATCAATCAGATTCATGGAGAAATTGGGAAATTGCATAATTTTCTTATAACTCTTTAGTGATCTTCTGGTAAGAAATAATGTATCATGATACATAATAGACTTACAAGATCATCATTAAATAATTATGCAGAAGTAAAGGTTGTGTAATTAAATAGACTCAACTGTGAAGATATTTATGCCAAAGGTTGTATGCAGTTTTTTATCTTGTCAAAAAGACCTATTTTAAATAGTCTTTACATTTTCCTTTCCAAGTGATAATTCATAGTGCTGAGTAACTTATTGTTCAAAAGTTCACTTATTTCTGAAAACATTGGGAAGAAAATAGCCCTTAGTTCTTTTGTTTTGTTTTGTTTTTTGAGACAGGCTCTCGCCATCTTGTTCAAGCTGGCCTTGAACTCACTGTGTAGCCACAGCAATCCTGCCTCCACCTCCTGAGTGCTGGGATTAAAAGCATACACCACCACTCCCGGCAACCTTCAGTTCTTTTATCTCTATTTTTTTTGCATGCTGATATTAGAGTCAAACCAGTTCATTTTCCATTCTAGAAGTGCTTCTGCCTCTCTCTAGCTTTCCCACTGGAGGGCAGTAGAGAAGCATCTAGGCCATCCCTGATTTTGGAATTCATTGGCTTTAATGTGGCAAGTCAGACCTTAAAATGCTTAATACTTATTTCCCCCTAATAAAAAGTCATAACCAAAGTACCTGTTCGAGAAACCTGTTTTCTCCCATAAAATGCCATAACTTATGAAAATAAATGTAAATAAAGTGAAATTTATGTATTTGTAATTATAGTTGGCCTTGTGTATTAGTGGGTTTCATATCCATGGATTCAGTCAGTCTCAGATCGTAAATATTTGAAAAAATAATTGCACCTGGTCTGAACATGTACAGTTTTCTTTCTTGTCATTATTCCCTAAACAATATAGTATAGTATAAAGAATATAGTATAAACCATATAGTATAAAGAATATAATATATATATAAAAAAGAATATACTATAACAACTACATAATTTACATCTTGTGCATGATCAGTAATACAGAATTGATTTAAAGTATATGGTATATGAGAGGATGTGCATAGGTTTTATGCAAATACTATGCCATTTTATACAAGGGACTTGAGCATCTGAGAATTTTGGTATCCAAGGGAGTCTTGGAAGCAATCCTCCAAGAATACCAAGGGATAAATGACTGTATTAACTAATCGGGGAAAAATAGAAACAGTATAAAAATTTTGTCACAGATGTGCTCTTTTGTGGTGGAATTTTTGTACTGGAGCTGAATTGGTTGAGCTTCCTAAAATACTAGTGCAAAGAAATGTAGTAGATGTTAATTTTGCTCCACAAACTAATGTGTCAAATTAGGTGTCATATTAAAAAGTTAAATATAATTTTGAGCTCCCAGAGAATCAAAATGATGGAAAATTCATCATCAATATATTGTTAATATTCCCCTGGCCACCCTAATCTACCATAAGGTCACTCATACATACCAGAATCAAATATTGGGAAACACTGACGATCCTTAGGCCACAGTGGTTATGGTTAAGATGCCCAGTGTCTTAGAAATATCCCTTAGAAATGATAGGACACTTGCCTTTTCTTCCATTAGTAGTGGGATTTATAGAGCTGGGAATCTCAGTGACTACCACCAGCCTCCTAAAGAATGCTGGACATCATTGCTCATGTTCTGCCACCAACATGGATATTTTCAGTGGTATTCACAATTCTTCACTCCTTGCAGAACCTTTCCTGCTTTCACTGAATCCTCCTGTGGCCTCTAAAGAGAATTGAGTTGTACCCAGCTTCCCCACCCCACCCAGATTCCTAACAACTTCTCTGGTAAGATTGGACTTTCACTAAAAGATGAGACTATCTTTAAGGAGCTTCTGCTTTATGCCTAGCAAAATAAACCACTCCTGTGACCAGCAAGCACTATGAACCAGCAACCATCAACAGAAGATGAGGAAGGAAGGAAAATTACAGCAAAAACAAAATATACTCTAATGGCTCAACAAATTATCCTGCCATGGGAGCTGGAAGTGAAGACAATTCTTTCGCTAGTAATCTCCCTAAAGAAGCCACAGGCATTCTTTCTGCCTCTTAAGCACCTTCAAACTGCATTTAAAATTAGGTTGTGCTTCTGGAAATCTTTCTTTTGCTAATTTGTTGTACATGAATGCCTGCAGAAGCCTTTGGATGGTAAATGCTGTGGGAGGGGCAGTTTCCATGGTGACTGTCTAAGGTACCCTTTTTCTTGCACTTCAATTACATCTTCATTGCTGAGCTGTTGTGAATGAGAAGGTAAGGACTCAGTCACATCTGAAAGCTGGAGACTGAGACGTGGTACTAAATGCAGCTGCATTCTGAACCCGCTGAGTTGTACTATACTTGTCTTGAACCTCCTCTTCAAGGTTGCCCCTGCCCGTTATGGGAAAATACATTTGCAACACACAGGACAAAGGGCCAATTTCCTTAACAATACAAAGAGCGCTTACAAGCTGATATGAAAACTACCAAAAAACGTAATAGAAAAAAATGAGCAAAGGGGGCCAGGGATTTAGCTCAGTTGTTCCGCTGCCATTCTTGCAAGCGCAAGGTCCCGAGTTTGATCCCTGGTACCACACACACACACAAAAATGAGCAAAGGACATGCACAAACATCTCTGGGAAAAAGAAAATAAATGGCTTAAAATGTATGAAAATGTGTGTGATCTCATTTATTATGAAAAAAATAAGTATTTAAATGGAAATAATTTTCCACCTACAGATTGGAAAAGATCCAAAAGTTTAATAAGGTACTATGTTCAGATATGTGGAAAAACCACTATTTTATTTTATTTTCTTTCTTTCTCTCTCTCTCTCTTTTTTTCTTTTAACAAAGTCTTGTTAAATGTACAACAGGGCTGGGGATTTAGCTCAGTGGTTCCACCGCCTGCCTTGAAAGCTCAAGGACCTGAGTTCTATCTCTGGTACCAAAAAAAAAAAAGAATTCCGAAAGAAAAAGTTTCACGCAACATTCGTATGGTTCTCTAAATCACTTTTACAAAGAAGGTGAACCATTTTCATTTAATGCTATGAGTTAGCAGTACCTTTCCTAAGTATAATTCTATTAACTTTGAAAAATATAAAATTGTAATTACATTTTTCAAAGAAATACATTTATTTCCGAAGGGTAATTTCAATTGTATGTGTTTGTGAAAAGTTTTCGTACAATGCACAATTTTTTACTGGATGTATCTTAATTAAAAAGACTCTTCAAAAAAAAAAAATAAATGTACAACAGACTCCAAGAACACACTTCATTCTAGTTATAGGTGTCAAAAGATGTTATGGCAGGGAATCCAGATATTTGAATAATAATGGAATCAAGGATCACCATCATCTTAGGCATAAGGAACAATTTATTTTTTGCCAGATTTCTTAATTCTACCTGTGGCCAGGGGGCCCCTTCCCGTGGCCTTCTTTTTTAGCTCCTCAAGTTTCTTCTCTTTCTGCTTCTGTTTGAATGCTCTGTCTTCCTTGTCCAACTCCTTGGCCTGTTTCTTGGACTGTTTCAGGGGCTTCTTCTTGCCACCTTCTCAGCCAGACATGGCATCCATACACTCACCAGAACCCAGTTCAGAAGCCAGCAACTTCAAAACCACCATTTTATACATGGGGTGGGGGATCAATATAATCTCTTTGGAGAGTGAGGTAGCAGTTCCTTTTCTCAAAATTCATCCTGTAGATATACACTTAACTTAGAACACAGGAAAAGAATATTTATTGAATCATTGTTGAAGCAAATGACTAGGACAGACTAAAGTACTGTAGTTATTAATAGATCTATAGACTTGCACCCATGGACTGAATGATACTGCCATGCATAGGTAGGTGAAAGAATGGTATGAAATGAGCTATTTCCTCTCAGTTTGACCTAAGGTGGAAATATGATTAATAAGCAATTCCAAATAAGTGTAAGATACATAAACAGATTAACGAAGGAAATATCTCTAAAAATAGGTTCCAAGGCATTTAGCAGGCTCAAGGATACTAAAAATGCCAGAGTCTAAGAAGAAATATTTCTTTGGAAATAAGCTGTGTTCTGAACTTCATTTCTTCTTCCCCAACAGAATATGTTCTCAGATCCCAAATATAATGAGGTAGGGCTTTAGTGATACCATCCTGAGAGCTCAATAAGTGAACAGTTGAGTAGATCTCAGATCTACAGGGCAAGAAATGGGCCAACTTCAGTAATTACTTTGGTGGTAGAAATACAAGAGTGCTGGGAACAGATTGTACTCCCAGAGGTTTTCTCTTTTCTTTTTTGGTAAAGGTTTGGTGAGGTCTTTCTGAAGACCAGATGGATATGAAACACATGGGAGAAAGTCTCACTCAAGAATATTAGTTGGGAGAATGAAGGGACCCTAATTACCAAAGACTGAGTGCATCATTATGACCCAGAGCTGAAGGGTACAAGGGAGCAGAGTGTGTAATCCTCTTCAGGAGAGTTGCAGCTGGAGAGATTCACAGAGATCCAGCTCCAAGGAGAACCCAAGAAAGCCCTAGAAGATAAAGTGCCAGGTTCAGTTGTCTGTTAGTTCCAGGTTGCAAAGCACCAGCAAAGGAAGAACTGTCCAATCTTCTCCAAGCCCTGCTTCAGCCCTGAAGCAACAGCAGCTATGAGTGAAGACAAAAGGCAGCTCCAACTGGATTTACGTGGTTTTTTAAAAAGTGAGATTTTTTTTTTTTTTTTTAAAAGATATTTTAGTGGTTCAGGGGAGTGGTAGTGTAAGACCCAGATGAGACTTAGCACAAGTAATGCCATCTTGTTACAGGCCCTCCATCTTGTCCCTGTGGGTTTCGGGTTCACTACAGGACACAGTTCCTGGAATGTACTTGTTTTATCTGTTAAGACACCATGGAATGTACCATTGTTTCTGTGTAAGGAACATCTTGTTTGCTAAGTAAAGAACATCTGCAACCCCCCCCCCGCCCCCTAACCGCAAAGAATTCAGAATTCAGCTTCTGTAGTTCTGCTTGCTAAGCATCCCTGCAGCCCCTATAAAACCTTCTAACCCCCTGAGCTCAGGACCCTCTCTAAGCCTGTTGCTTGGAGGGTGCCATCTGGCCAGACTAATAAAGGTCTGTTTTACTTTTCCAACTTGTCTGGTGTATTCCCTCCCAGTTGTTCTTCTCTGCAGTCAGCTCCTCAGAGCATTTGGTAAGGCCCTCAGTCTTACAGTAGTTTTAAGGAACTAAATTTTCAGAATCCCCCCCAATTTTTCCTCACAGCGTATTTGCCTAAGAACTTGGCCTGCAGCAGAGTGCCAATGCTTGTTTTCCTTTCCCACCTACCCTTTAGATCTCACCTTTTTTCCAGTTTATGAAAGATATGCATTCTGAATCTTACTAAGGTATACTACTCCTTGGGCAACAAACGGATTTTTTAAACCATGTCAACTTTGAGAAAGTGAATGGTGCCAAAGACCAAGTAACAATTCATTTGCAAATCTGGTGGTTTACTAAAATTGGAGGAGGATTTGACCTACCAGAGGGGGCCTTTTGTGGTTGCCACTGGTTTTGCAAGCATAGGCTAAGGAGCAGACTTTACTGAGGAAAGGAAAATTCCTAGGCCAGGATAAGCAGACAGATATTCAGTGTTTCCCACTGTTCCCATCTTCCCCTGGAGAGATACTAGCATCAGGGCTTCTACTGAGTGTTCTGCTCTAGTACAATAACCCATCCCCAAAAGTGGCTTTCATGGGAGGGAGTAGTATTAGGTAATCTGGTCTTTGGGTGTCAGTTGTTTTCAGGACTTGTCAGGAAAGTTGGCTGCCTTACTGTTGGGGATTATAGGGATATCTGGGGTGTCAGAGTTTCTGCTGACCTACCTGTCATAAGGATCTTCTAAGACCTTTAATGTCCAGACCGTGAGCTCTGTCTTTGGCTTGCTTATTCTGGTGTTTTGTTATGTTTTGTTTTAGCAAAAATCCTACTGAGCCAGTTTAGCCAGAATCCACCACCCTTGATATCTCACTATCCTGGATATCTGCTCACTGTGGAAGTCTTTGGCAAAAATCCTGCTGGGTCAGTTTTTAGAATTCTCCTCATCCCTGATGTTTCCTTGTAGTAATTTTCCTTCCATTGACTATCACCCAGCACCTTGGCCATAAATCCCCACTTGTTCTTGTTTTATTCAAAAGGGAACCTAAGTTTATCTTTTAATATAGAGTTCTTGCTATTGCAATAACCCTTCTCTCACTATTACAACAGTCCCTCCCCGTACCCTTACAATAATCCTTCCACATAAACATTTCCTTACTAAATCTGGATTTGTGTTTTAATTCACAATTCCCAGAAATTTTGATGTATTTCTCTCCCATTAATCATAATATGAATGAGATTTAAGAATTACTGCTTTAGAAAATGTGAACAATACAATTCCTTGAGTAATCTAATACATATACATCTGTGTTTCTGTTTCTCCAGAAAGAAGAGTCTGAGGCAAGGTCTTGATGTACAGTATGATGTTTATGTAGGAGATAATGTCCAGAAACCCAAGAGGAGAAATGGGAACAGTGAGACAAGAAGAGGGAAAAGCCCACTCAGAGTGCATAGAGTGGGTTTCTTCTGTGGGTGACTGAAGCTCAGTGCCTCTGGGGGTTCTCTGAGGAACATGTAGAATGCATCTTAGTTTTGAGCTTTCAAGAGACAGCAGAGCTGGAGTATGTGTATGACTTGTCTCCTGTTTCTTACTGGTTGAGAATTTTCTCTGAGGGTTTTAGATCCCAAACACTACTGAACTCCCCTCAGGGCACCTTCAGGGAGAGAATCAGAGAGATGCACAGATGCTTGAAGGGAACTGTCAACAAGCAAACTCCAATGGAGCTACAGGGACATGGAGTTGGGAGTCAATAGTGTGTTAGCTTTCCATCACTGTGACAAAATACATGAGGAAATAAACTTAAAAGGAGGATGAATTTATTTTGGCTAATGGTTTCAAAGGTTTCAGTCCATGGCCACTTGGCCCCACTGCCTTTGGGCATGTAATGAGGCTGAACATCATGGTGAGTAGTGTATGGTTGAGGAGGCTGTTCACTTCATGCCTGCCAGGAAGTAAAAAGAGAAAAGGAGGCAAGGGCTGTAGCTTCAGTATTCCCTTCAAGGCACACTCCCAGAGACATAACTTCCTTCCACTAGGCCCCAGATCTTATTTTAGTAATGTGGTGCTGAAGCAAGCACAGGTCCTACCACCTAAAGATTCCACCACCTCCCAGTACAGTATAACCATAGGCTGGGAACAAACCTTTAATATATGAACCTTTGGGAGATATTTAAGATCCAAACCATAACAAATAGCATCTCGTGCAACATTGAACTTTGTGCTTACTGAAAACAAAGTGAGGGCCTGTCTAAATAAAAAAAAAGAGCCGAGGATGTAGCTCAGTGAAAAGGACCTGAGTTAAATCCCCAGTACTGCACAAAAACAAAATAAACTCTAAAACAAACAAATCCATAAACCTGTAACTAAGGTTGTTGAATGTTTACAGTGTCCTAAAGGCTTTACATATATTATCTTTATAATTTCA